GCCCAAAACTACTCGACACGCACCCTGCTTGGCGTTGTGCGATTTTCCGTGTGCTCGAAGATCAGAGGGTCTGGGTGCAATTCAGCCCGGTCCGACAGACGAAACTGAGCTCACCGAGGGAAGGATTCCTGACATACGACGCACTCGTAGGATTTTTGGTGTGTACTCAAGGATGTACTGTGAGCTCAGTGCTACGCTCTGCCACTTCGTCGGATGAAGGAGGGTTGCACAAAGATGCAATTGAAATAAATCCCAGTTTTTTTGGAACGCTCGTGGCGTCGAGTAAGCCCATAATGCGACCGTTACATTCGAATGGGAGATCAACACAGTGGAATTTATAAGATCAGTGAGAGGCGCCAACATGGGATGGTATAGTCACAGTCAAAGAGCGTATCTCAAGAAGCGACCTCCGGTGTGGCCTTAGATGGCGCGCGCGTGAGTCCGCATGTCCAGATCTTGCCATCTGGAGTAACGGAGATGAGCAAGCAACTTTACTTAACAACCACTTACTTACCTGGGAAAAGAATTGTTACCCAAGAAGGAAAAGTTGTGGAGGAATTCGAGCCCGGAAATTCCACCGGCGGTCATTGGAATCCGGAATGTTGGTGCGGTCGGGGAGGCGATCGGTAAGGAAGGCTCGGACCGCCGGTTAGGTCCAGTCCTAGACGATGCCATGATATTGAAGGTGAATTCGCCGCGAGACGGCATGATCCGACATAGTCAGACGCACCGGTTGTGCTCATCGTCTACAGTATGGTCACTCCGCAATCCAGGCCATGGATCTGTTGGCCCCCGTCCAAGTGGAGTGGAATTGGTAGTTTGGCAAGTTCACAACATTTGTTACGCAGACATGGGTAGGAATTTCCCAATCGCTATTTCATTAATATTCAAAGCCACGTCTTGATGTTGTATTAAGTTAAAGCATAGATCTAATCACTCAACGTGCCCAAAAAAGAGAATTCAACTCAAAAGCAGCGAATTCCGCTACAAATTTCGTCTCGCGGAGGCTCTCCGAGTCCGACGTTCCTGGGTAGGAATTTCCCAGCCTATTTTATCAATTTTCAAAGCCACGTCTTGATGTTGAATCGAGTTAAAGGGATTAGCATCAAATGCTCAAAGAAAAATAATAATAATAAGAATAATCATCAAAAGCAGCGGGTTTCGCCGCAAATTTCATCTCGCGGGCGCAAGCCGAGGCGCCCCGAGTCCCACGTTCCAAGTCAGAAAGTCTGGGACAGACATATGTTCAGAATTTCTGCCGAAAACTTGATCGCACCTGATTGCACTTGATCCAGCTTAATTGGCCGACATAGACCCAAAGTCGCAAGTGAAACACCATTTTCAACAATGATTTTTTCTATAAGGGGCGCGCCCATCGGACTCTTTTTTATCCAATTTGACAGACCAAAGTTTTTTTGATTTTTGGAGATCAAGAGGAAAGTGCATTCAAAACGATTCAAGTGACCAGTAATTGCCGAAGGGCTGATGAAGTTGGCTAGAAAGGGCAGCCGGAGGTATATCGCTGGGGATCGGGACGGTCGTATGTAGCCCAGACCAATGGGACATGGAAGATGTGGAGTTACGGTGGAATGATTCGCGGAGGTTCGTAGAGTACATTGCAGCGAGGCTCATGTCACGTAAGTACCTGAAATGGAGTGAGAGCCAACTGCAACGAGGCTCACGTCACCTGGTAGGTGCTTTAAATGGGTCCAGGGCATATGACCGTCGAGGGTGTCATGTTTCTTTCCGGAAATAACGCACCCTGAGGCGAGAACAGAGCGGTGTCCGCTGGAGGTGTCCCCAGCGTACAAATTGGACATAGTGGCCGTCTGCGTCAACTGGTAGTCTTCAAAAACCGTCCGCGGCGTCTAGCAGTCCTTGCGAAAGAAAGTGCACGGTGTCGGACTGGGAGTTGGAGCGGCGGGGCGGCGCAAGAGAGGGATCTACACGATCGGACGAACTCTGTTAAAGTTTGTAGCTGCGAGGTTATCACCGGTCTGCGAGAGCAGGAAGTTCTTCTGAGAATGTGAATGGCTGAGAAACGGATTTCTTTTTAGCACACACTTTTTTTCGTTAGATTTTTGCACCCTATGATTCACGCAGACCCTCAAAGACCTGTACAGAGCCTGAGCCTTGAGGCATTACGGACTTGTGAGTCGAAAGCTTGAGTATCTGGACATCGTTACGGGCGTCCGAGTCCACCGGGAAGGTTCTTTTGGGGGAGCCGTTACTGGGTTCGTCGAAACGCGGGCCGTCCGTCATAGATGAAATCACGTTCAAGTTAAAAGAGACCACATGCCGATTTGATCCGGAATTTGAATTCCGCCTGCCTCTTGTTCTCATCTTTTCATCAGCCCTACTCTCCATGAGACTTGACCTTCCTGCAAGCCTTAGTGAAGAAGGCTCCAACTCGAAAGCTATTCAAATTTCATGCCGTCAATCATTGCGTCGCAGGGACCGTCGCTGGATTGTCATTGATGCGGCCGCCAGCAACTTGAAACCGCCACTGGATCCGCGGATCCTCACCACTTCAAGTTCATGGTTCCAAACCTCCGACTTCAATTTTTTGTCCCCCGACTTTGTTACCTAAGTTGTGGGACGGATGACAGAGGCGCGCTTCTATTTGTGGCTTTCCGGCGGTGCCAAGGCGCCGGATCTATTTTTTCACTCATTATGATTTAAGGTGGTCCACCTCCATTATCCTTGCTCGAATTTCTGTCCAATGTCGCACCTTACGATGGAAGTTACCCGCCATTCACTCCCTGGAAGGTCTCAAGACGGCATCGGCGACCTGACCCTCATATTTCAGAGGTACAAGTCTTGCGGGACCCAGCCGGCTGGCGCCAAAGAGTCAGTCGTGCTTGTCCTGGCACACTGTGTTGGAACCCGTGCGCTTTCGTTTTAATTTCGCCGAAACACGCGAATTCAACCGGTATCGACCTTCAGACAAGGAGACTTGGGACCCGGTCATCGAATACCTGTTCCAATTTCAACACTCTGACCCTTGCGGCGTCTCGATTGCGGAGGTCTGGTCGGCTGAATCTTCCAACCACGGGGAATCTGCGGCGATCAATGAAAAATCTCTTCTCGAGCGACCGGGTGGAATCTGTATGTTCTCTCTTCCGTAAAACCATTGCGGCCGCTAACTTGATGTCGGGTACACGAACAGCGGGGTATGAGTGGGGCCGGGGTGTCCGCACTTTGTTTGACTCCGGTCTCATCGTTCCTGACACCAATATCGTCTCCGTCGGCCACTCTGCCGGTGCCTGCATAATGTCAGACCCCTGTCATCACGTCAACATATCATTTCTCACCGTTCAAGCACACAGGGTATTATCCACGACTGAATTTTCTCCTGGCAGCCTCCCGTACACGTCTATGATCCTGATCGAGCCAACATCCATGACGCAGGAGGCGTACACACAATGGCTCTCGAAGCCCAGCTCTGCCTCTGCGGTGAAGCGCGTCACAGCCGCTGTGAAGGCGCGCAAGGACACCTGGGAGTCGCGCGACGCCGCCCATGCGTGGTTCAAAGCACGGCTCCCATGGAAGCGATGGGACGCGCGCACCCTCGCCCTATTCGTGGTCCGTATTTACCGAAAATTTATATATGCCCAATACTCACTGACCGCCGCCCTTAGCACCACGGCCTGCGGGATCTCCCGACCGCCACGCATCCCGCGTGCACACACGGCGTCACTCTGGCGTGCACTCGTGCGCAGGAGACTGCGGGGTACATGTACGAGCGCGATGGCGTCGACGCAACTGAACAACTCACGGTCGTCTGCGCGCGAATCCCTGTGCACTGCATCTTCGGCACGGAAAACGACTTGGTGTGCGCCAATTTTATATCTGTATATATATAGTGGAGGCTGAATATTTCTTGCGGGCTAGCCCGGTTGAAACACAGCGCGACATTTGTGATGCAGCGAAGGACGGCGCATGGCCTCGGTTTCGAAGATCCACGGCGCAGGCCATCTGGTGCGTCTGCACGGAATTACCTTAGCTTCAATTGTTAATGTTTTCTTCTTTGGGATAGGTCACTCAGGAAAAACCATATGAGGTCGCGCGCGCCATTTGGACAGCGCTGATTCAGGACTATGCACCGCGCGGGAAGTTGAATTCTAAACTTTAGAACGACGCAGTGTATTGTACTGTAAACTTTGAATAATCAGCGAAAATAGAAGACCAAGAATTTGCAAAATCTTCTGCAGAACCTCCAGAGCTGCACTGCTTTGGTCCGCAAAATTGCTTTCAGGTCCTGTGTTTACAAAAGATCTTGTCACGGTTGTGATAGATACGTTTTCGACCCGTCAGCATTGCAAAAACCGGCCCCAGAGCCAAAATATTAATCGCTGTGGGCTCCAGTATCTGTCTGGTCTCTGGAAATGCATCGTAAGAAAAAAGATGGAGGGGAAAAATCAGAACTGCACCATGCATGCCCCCGGTAGGAGTTGAACCTACGACGTCTCCATGACGTAGAAGAATTTCTCTTACTAGATGAAGATGATCAACCATGATCCACGAGGGCGATACTTCCCTTGTTGCATCCTGGATTATATGAAGGAGGTTTGAGGGAGGCTAAAAAAAAACGAGTGCTACACCGTGAATGCCCTCGGTAGGAATTGAACCTACAACATCTTCATGGATACAGCCGCACCAAACTATGAGGCAAAGATGATCTACCGCGATCCACGAGGGCAATACTTCCCCTTGTGCATCGTGGATTATATGCCAGTGACAGAGGTTTGTAATTTGAGGGAAGGAACACAAGCCAAAAATAAAAGAACTTTAAAAACCGAACGACACCGCGAATGTCCTCGGTAGGATTCGAACCTACGATGTCTTCCGAGATTCCATTGCCTCTGCAAATTATGAAGATGATCTACCATGATCCACGAAGGCATTAATTCTATGGTGCATCTTGGATTACAGTGAGGTTTGAGGCAACACTGAAGACGTGCAAAAAAAAAAAGAAAACCATCCATTTTATACGTGCATGCCCTCGGTAGGATTCGAACCTACAACATCTTCATGGAGCAGCAGCACCTAAGCAAATTATGAAACAAAGATGATCAACCATGACCCACGAGGGCGATACTTTCCTTGTTGCATTGCAGATTATATGCCAGATGTTTGAGGGGTAGTGAAGACATGCAAAAAAAAATCTCCCTCTCTAGCCGTATACCTTCGGTAGGATTTGAACTTATGTCTGAGGGAAATGAGCATGGCAAAAACAACCAAAAAAAAGAGTGACCAGAGCTGCCATGCCCTCGGTAGGATTCGAACCTACGATGTCTTCATGCCAAAGAACTCCTGGATGTCAGAGTAAGAAGTGAAGATAATCAACCATGATCCACGAGGGCATTAATTCTGTGGTGCATCGTGGATTATATACGTATATGCCAGCAACGGAGGTTTGAAGGGAAATGAACATGCCATAAAAAAAAACCATTGCTTCTTGCGTCCAATGCATTATATGAGTGCCCTCTGTAAGATTCAAGGCAAAGGTATACCAGTACAGTAACAGAGGTTTGAGGGGAGTGGACACACCAAAAAAAATCAGACTTACAGAACATGCCTCGGTAGGATTCGAACCTACGATGTCTTCATAAAGTCATACGCATATTGTCACTATTAGATGAAGATGATCGACCATGATCCACGAGGACATTACCTCCCTGAGTGCATCATAGATTAAATGAAGGGGGATTTGAGGGTAGTCAAAACACACCAAAAAAAAAACCAACTATCACAGACATCATGCCCTCGGCAGGATTCGAACCTACAGCATCTTCAAAGCCATTCTGGAAGTTGAACAGAGTGAAGATGGTCTACCATGATCCACAAGGGTGTTATACCCCTTGTTGCATCGTGGATTATATACATGCCAGTGATAGGTTTGAGGGAAATGCAGGCATGCCAAAAAAAACCAAAAAAAAACGAGTACTACACTGTGAATACCCTCGGTAGGATTCGAACCTACAATGTCTTCATAATTGCTGAAGTTTTCATCAATTAGATGAAGGCAATCTACTATAATCCACGAGGGCGATATTTCTCCTGTTGGATCGTAGATTATATGCCAGTGACAGAGGTTTGAGGGAAGTGAAGACATACACGCCAAAAAAATATTGCCTCTTGGAGCCAGTCCAATGCATTATGTGAATGTCAAGAGGTTTGAGGGAAAGAAGACTTGCCAACCAAAAAAAATCCCATGCTCACCAAATGTCTATGCCCTCGGTAGGATTCGAACCTACAACATCTTCAGAGATTTGTTTTGCAACGTCATAGGATGAAGATGATCAACCATGATACACGAGGGCAATACTTTATGTGCTTAGTTCATGGATTATATGAGGGAAATCCGAGGGAAACGAAGACACACTTTAACAGGAAGAAAAATGCAGAGGCAATGACGAATGCCCTCGGTAGGAGTTGAACCTACGATGTCTTCATAAAGATCTGGAAAAGCTGCGACTAGATGAAGGTGATCTACCACGATCCACGAGGGCGATACTTCCCTTGTTTCATTGTGGATTATATGCCAATGCCTGAGGTTTATAATTTGTGGGAAAACAGACCGGAAGAAAAAAAAGGCGATGTCTCAGGTCAATGCCCTCTGTAAGATTCAAACCAAAAGTATGCCAGTACAGTAACGGGGTTTTGAGGGAAACCAAGACGCACTGGCAAAAAAAAACCATCCATCTTATATGTGCATGCCCTCGGTAGGATTCGAACCTAGGATGTCTTCCGACACTCCGTTGCCTCTGTAAATTATGAAGATGATCTACCATGATCCACGAGGGCATTAATTCTATGGTGCATCATTAATTCTATGGTGCAAAGTAGATTATATGCCAGTGACAGGTTTAAAGGAAATGCAGGCATGCCAAAAAAAACCAAAAAAAAAACCTCCTTAAAGATGTATACCCTCGGTAGGAGTCAAACCTACAATGCCTTCAGAGACTGTTAATATCCTCATTAAGAAGCGAAGACGATCAACCACGATCCACGAAGGCATTTCTTCCCTGCCAGTGGGTGCATCGTGGATTACATGTCAGTCAAGATCAATTTTGAAGTTGGGCCCCGCAATTGGTACATTGGATGTTTATTTCAGTATGTGGCTGGCAATTGCAAAATGAAAGACCCTCCCCAAAAGGAAAAAAAAAAGGAAAAAAAAAAAAAAAAGAAAGAAAGAGCAGTTGAAAGAGATAGTGCCCTCGGTAGGATTCGAACCTACGACGTCTTCATAAATTTTCAAAGAAAAATACAACAGAATAAAGATGATTGACCATGATCCACAAGGGCAATACTTGTCTCAGTGTGTTGTGGATTATATGAAGGAGGTTTATAATTTGAGGGAAATGAACATAACATTGCTTCTTGCTTCCAATGTGAATGCCCTCTGTAAGATTCAAACCAAAAGTATGCCAGTACCGTGACGGTAATGGAGGTTTGAAGGAAGTAAGGATACCAAAAAAATAAATAAAAATAAAAATAAAACTGAATGCCCTCGGTAGGAATCGAACCTCATAATACAGAACTCTATCCCAACACTAGAGGAAGCAAAGATGATCTACCATGATCCACGAGGGCATTATCTCCCTGGGTACATCATGGAATATATGCCAGCGACAGCAGTTTAATTTGAGGGAATGAACATGCCAAAAAAAAAAACCATTGTTTCCTGCTTCTTGCATTATTCGAACACCCTCTGTAAGATACAAAAAAAAAAGTACAGTAACGGAGATTTGAAGGAACACACCAAAAAAAATGTTTTTGCTACACCGAATGCCCTCGGTAGGATTCGAACCTACAACATCTTCATAAACGGTTCCATTATTTGTCATCGGATGAAGATGATCTACTATAATCCACAAGGGCGATATTTCTCTGGTTGGATCGTAGATTATATGCCAGTGACAGAGGTTTGAGGGAAGTGGGTACATACACGCCAAAAAAGAAAATTGCCTCTTGGAGCCAGTCCAATGCATTATGTGAATGTCAGGAGGTTTGAGGGAAGAAGACTCGTCAACCAAAAATAAAAAACTCATGCCTACAGTATGCCCTCGGTAGGATTCGAACCTACGACGTCTTCATAAAGTTATTGCACTTACGGCTACTAGATGAGGATGATCAACCATGATCCACAAGGGCAGTACTTGCCTTGGTACATCATAGATTATATGCCAGTGACAGGTTTGAAGGAAATGCAGGCATGCCAAAAAAAAACCCCCAAAAAAAGACAGGTGCTACCGAGAATGCCCTCGGTAGGATTCGAACCTACGACATCTTCCGAGATGTTAATCCTCTGTTATGGGATGAAGATGATCTACCATGATCCACGAGGGCATTTCTTCCCTGGGTACATCGTGGATTACATGTCAGTTTTGAAGTTGGGCCCCGCAATTGCAATTGGAACATGGATGTCTGTGGCAAAATGAAAGACCCTCCCCCAAACCAAACAAAAGAAAAAAAGGAAGAAAAGAAGAAAGGAAGAAAGCAAAAAATTCACCTGAAAGAGGTAGTGCCCTCAGTAGAATTCGAACCTACGACGTCTTCAGAGATTTGTTTTGCAGCGTCATAGTATGAAGATGATCAACCATGATCCACGAGGGCGATACTTCCCTGGGTACATCCTGGATTATATGCCGGAGATTTGAGGGTAGTGAAGACACACTTTAACAGGAAGAAAAAAAGGAAATCAATGATGAATGCCCTCGGTAAGAATGAACCTACAACATCTTACAAAGTGCTGTTTGGACACAGATTCGTACAGAGTGAAAATGATCTACCATGATCCACAGGGGCATTAGTTCCCAGGTGCATTGTGGATTATATGTCAGTGACAGGTTTGAGGCAATGAACACAAGCCAACCAAAAAAAAAACAATCAGTTAACTACAAATGCCCTCGGTAGGATTCAAACCTACAACATCTTCAGAAACTGCCATGCCTACTGGGTTAAGAAGCGAAGAGGATCAACCATAATCCACGAGGGCATTACCTCCCTGGGTGCATCGTGGATTATATGCCAGTAACAGAGGTTTGAGGGAAGTGAAGACATACACGCCAAAAAAAAACTGCCTCTTGGAGTCAGTCCAATGCATTATGTGAATGTCAAGAGGTTTGAGGGAAAGAAGACTCGTCAACCAAAAAAAAAAAACTCATGCCTACAGTATGCCCTCGGTAGGATTCGAACCTACGACGTCTTCATAAAGTTATTGCACTTACGGCTACTAGATGAGGATGATCTACCATGATCCACGAGGGCAATACTTTATGTGCTTAGTTCATGGATTATATGAGGGAAATCCGAGGGAAACGAAGACACACTTTAACAGGAAGAAAAATGCAGAGGCAATGACGAATGCCCTCGGTAGGAGTTGAACCTATGATGTCTTCATAAAGATCTGGAAAAGCTGCGACTAGATGAAGGTGATCTACCACGATCCACGAGGGCAATACTTCCCTTGTTGCATTGTGGACTACTATTACGCCCAATGGGTCTGGATTTGCACAATGGGTCTGGATTTCGGATTTTTCTCTTTCATTTCTTCCTCTTTCCCCCCGGAGTTTTCCGGCATAGTTACATGTACTAGTAGACTACAACTGTATGAAATAACTAAGGGATGCGGCGAGAGGAAGATATTGAGAAACACTTCCCGGTGCATCAAAGTCAGTGATATTTTGGAAGTTGTCTAATTTCTCGCCTTGCAGGTCACCCCATAAATCCGAAAAAAATTGAGGGCCCTTCTGTATCATGTAGAACACTTGCTACGTCTTCAGAATGTTTTGCCGGGAAGGGAACGTCGCGATATGAAGGAAGGACTTTCGCTGTCACAAAAGGTCACAACCGACTTGAATCTCCGACCTGATTGACAGCACTTGCCTCTTTCGTCTCGCCACGCTCATGTCCGACCAGGACTATTTGCCGTCCTCACCTTCCACTGTCTACAGCCTCGGCTTGGACTATGAACAATCTCAACACAAGCAAGAGATCCGCGATGCCCGAGAAGCTGATATGTCCCCAGAGGAACGGCAGGCAGCGGCTGAGCAGCGCCGTTTGAAGCGTGTGAAGCTGGGACTTGAGTCGCCAAATTACAAGCGTGAAGAGTTCTCGTCACCCTTCAAGCATGTTCTTTCTCCCGCGCTAAAGGCGGCCGTTGAAAGGTCAAGAAGTCCGTCACCTACACCTCGCCGGGCATCTGTGAAGTCCACCCAAAAAACACGCCGGTACGTTATCATGAATCTTTGTTTCGTCGGGGTTCTCACAAGCGATAGCCACTTTGAACCACAAGGACTTCTAGATTCACAAGCCACTTCCCAGGAAGTCATCGATGCTCTGATTACTGCGCAGATGCGGGATCAAGAGCACGACACTGGCATTGCTGACATGACATCCCAGGATGTTCTCGACCAGCTCGATTATCGCCGGCAACCTGTGGTATACGGTAAGCGGCCACATCCTCGTACAAATCTGTGTCCGTCACCTCCAAAATAGACCATGGCATTTCGGAAGAACCAGAGGATTATGAAGTACTCCGCATGCGATGTTTTCAAGCCGAGGCAGAGCGGGACATGGCGCTCATGGAGCTAACCAGTGCAAGGTCTGCATACGAAGAGGCTGTGGTGGCCAAAAACCGGGCAGAGGAGGAGATAGCACGTTGGGAACGCGCCGCTGCCGCTGCTGCGCCACTCGTACATTTGTTACTACCATATATTAACTGAAATAATAACTATTTACGGTGCTTAAAAGACTACTATGAACAAGTACGAAAGACTATGTGGATCATAAGCAAATTAATGTCCATTTTCGAAGTCGTTGTAAGTATTAAAGGGGGCATCGAAAGGTGTGAGATAATTGAGAGGAACAATAGGTGCAACGTGAGGATTCGCCATGCCAGAAGGAAGCGGCGCATGGAAGGGATGCTGAGCCCGTGGATATTGCCAGGAGCCGTACTGTGAGTGAATGGGAGGAGGTGCGAATGTGAAGTCACGATTCTGCCAGGATGAGTTTTCGAGGGCAGCAGAGGAAGGGATGTGAGATGCGGATGGCTCGGCGTCGTGTTGGTTCCCAGGAGCAGCTGGAGCGGTGGCACGGCGTCCACGCTGTGCACGAGCGAAAAGGCCCTTGTATTTTTCACTGTCGCGTTTGGCGGGATGGGTGCTAAAGTGCTTGTTGATGCTTTCTAGCAATGTCGCTTTCGTCCCGTCGTCCGACAGCCCCAGGGACCACGCAATATTCATGAGGTCGTCCTTGTTTTTCGCCGAGAGAATGCCGGTGAAAACGGTGTTGGGGTCCCAGTTGCGACGAGCCTCCTCTCGGCAATTCTCCTTCTCTCTCCGACGCTGAGCTCCATCCGACTTCTTCTGCGCCTTATTCGCTCTCTCCGCATCTTTCTCTGCTGCCAGCCTCCGACCCTCCACCGATGTCAAAACCCGTGCCTCAACATTCAGCTTCCGTCTCTTGCTTGCCCTGCCATCCCGCTCATTCAATTTCCGTTTCTGCATTGCCAGCTCCGACTCGACCATGCCCACGTGCGCCTGTAACCCTTGTACCTCGCTTTCAAGCTGGCTGATCCTCGCGAAGAGAACAGGGTCGTGATAGAAATGGGTTGCTGGAAGTGGTGATTGGGTTGAACGCGTTGACGCAGACATTGACGGCAATGGAGTAGGGGATGAGGTGGCTGTGCGTGATGTAGAAACGGACACCGACGTGGATGCAGCTGGCGCAGGGAGGGAGGAGGTAGTATCCGGACGGGGTATACATGGTGTTTCAGGCTCCTCGTCACTATCCGAATCAAAGTCTGAATCCGAAGAGTCAGAATCAGAGTCGGAGCTGTCGGAGTCGCTACTGGAATCGGAGTCGTGACCTCGGGCACGTTTTCTGGGCTGAGTCTGATCAACGGCAGGGTGCGGGGTAGGATGGGTACGGTGGGTGAGTATTCTGGAAGGTCAGGTACGTCTCGAGCCGCTGTTGAGTACGGAATACTTGGAGCGTAGTCTTCCGCAGTGAAAACATCGCGGTTAATGGGCCAGATACCGCTCTTCTTGAAAGCTGAAATGATAACGGAGCTGCGGAAAGTCTCGTCGCGGACACCCATATACTCTTTAATGAAATCCTCCTTCCGCATTTCTGAGCCGATGAGAATGACAATGTCATCGCAGCGGTCGATCCACTTCCGGGAGAAGGGGCCGAAGATACCGACATCGAGTGGCTGGAGCTTGTGAGTGGTGTGCGGGGGAAGTAGCAGTACAATGATATTATGCTCCTCTGCGAGGTCGATGATTGTGATGGTCTCGTGCGAGCCGTGGCCATCGAGAATGAGCAGAATAGGCTTCCCAGACTTGTTGCGAGCGGTCGCCTGAGGAATGAATGACAGCCGGAACCATTCTGAACCGATGAAATCGTCGGTCCAGCCGTTCGGGGACATCGCGATGCTGAATGATGTGTGAGGATGAGAAATTAAAAAATTTTAAAGAGGACAAGGCGACGTACACAATCTCATCGTCATAATCAAACCACTCAGGGCATTGGGTCGATCCAGAAAAAACAAAGCCTGGCTTGAGTTTAGTACCGTCTGCGCACACCGCCTCGATAATTGTGATGAGCTCCAGATTGGCACTCCGGTGCTTATACTTGGCGCGTTGCTTGCGCGAGTACAGGTACTTGCGCCGGCTCGCCTTCTTCCCACCGCCTCTCTGAACGCCTTTCTCGTCCATATTGTAGATATTCTCGATGGGAATGTCATGCTTGGTGACAAGTTCCGTGAGCTTGTCAAAGAAGCGACCAACGACAGGCTGATTGAATGCCTGGGCGCGCTTGGGATCGAGGCCAGAGGAGGTAAAGAAGCTGATGGTGGGGTGCCGTTCAAGGAAGCTGTACACCCAATTCCGGCTCGGCTTCTTTTTCTGTGGATGGAGATGTTGGGCGCGTGCGCGGATTGTTTTTTTGCACATAGGGACACCAGTCTCGCCGAGGTGCTCGACCCATTTGAAGAGTACATGCTCCGCAGAGGAGCCGATGAAATGCTGGGCCTCTCGAGCCTCAGCGGGAGATTTGTGAACATTATTGAAGCGAGCATGGAGAGTAGAGTAAGAAACGCCAAAGTCGCGGGCAGCCTGCTTGATGTTTGGTTTCCCGCCATTCTGCTTCTCTCGAAGAAGCTGCTCGCAGGCGTGCTGGATCTTCTTTTCCCGGTCATCCCGCGAGACACGCGCTGGCATGCGACGCGTCGAGCGAGACGTCAACAAACACGTTGATGGCTGGCTGTCCAAATAGGTGCCAACGCGTTAAGCGAGCGGAGATTGAATTTGTCACGCTCACGACAACTCCCCTCTAGATCGCGACGTCCCCTTCCCGGAAAAACATTCTGAAGACGTAGCAAGTGTTCTACATGATACAGAAGGGCCCTCAATTTTTTTCGGATTTATGGGGTGACCTGCAAGGCGAGAAATTAGACAACTTCCAAAATATCACTGACTTTGATGCACCGGGAAGTGTTTCTCAATATCTTCCTCTCGCCGCATCCCTTAGTTATTTCATACAGTTGTAGTCTACTAGTACATGTAACTATGCCGGAAAACTCCGGGGGGAAAGAGGAAGAAATGAAAGAGAAAAATCCGAAATCCAGACCCATTGTGCAAATCCAGACCCATTGGGCGTAATAGTATATGCCAATGCCTGAGGTTTATAATTTGAGGGAAAGCAGACCGGAAGAAAAAAAGCAATGTCTCAGGTCAATGCCCTCTGTAAGATTCAAGGCAAAGGTATGCCAGTACAGTAACAGAGGTTTGAGGGGAGTGAACACACCAAAAAAAAATCAGACTTATTACAGAACATGCCCTCGGTAGGATTCGAACCTACGACGTCTTCATGAAATTACACAGCATGGCTACTAGATGAAGATGATCAACCATGATCCACGAGGACATTACCTCCCTGGATGCATCGTGGATTATATGCCGGAGATTTGAGGGTAGTGAAGACACACTTTAACAGGAAGAAAAAAACCAAAGTCAATGACGAATGCCCTCGGTAGGAATCGAACCTACAACGTCTTCATGAACTGTATTGATACAACATATTATAGGATGAAGATGATCGACCACGATCTACGAGGGCATTGATTCCATGGTGCATCCTGGATTATATGAAGGAGGTTTGAGGCAAGTGAACATGCAAAAAACACAAACCCATATACAAATGCCCTCGGTAGGATTTGAACCTACGACATCTTCCGAAATGTTAACCCTCTGTTATGGGATGAAGATGATCTACCATGATCCACGAGGGCATTAATTCTGTGAGTGCATCGTGGATTATATGCCAATGCCTGAGGTTTATAATTTGAGGGAAAGCAGACCGGAAGAAAAAAAGGCGATGTCTCAGGTCAATGCCCTGTAAGGTTCAAACCAAAAGTATGCCAGTACAGTAACGGGGTTTTGAGGGAAACCAAGACGCACTGGCAAAAAAAAACCATCCATCTTATATGTGCATGCCCTCGGTAGGATTCGAACCTACGATGTCTTCCGACAATTCCTTGCCTCTGTAAATTATGAAGATGATCTACCATGATCCAGGAGGGCATCTCTTCTCTTGTTGCATCGTGGATTACATGGCCCCGCAATTGCAATTGGTACATTGAATGTCTGTGGCAAAATGAAAGACCCTCCAAAATAAAACAAAAAACAAAAACAAAAACAAAAACCTCAAAAAAATCACCAACTTCATCCGTGGATGCCCTCGGTAGGATTTGAACCCACAATGTCTTCATAAAGATCAGGAGGATCTACGTCGGACTAGATGAAGGTGATCTACCACGATCCACGAGGGCGATACTTCCCTCCTTGCATTGGATTATATGCCAGTGACAGGTTTGAGGATAGCGAGGGCACCGAGAACAAAAACAAAATCTCGTCAAATATGTATGCCCTCGGTAGGATTCGAACCTACAGCGTCTTCAGAAACTGCCACGTCCACTGGGTTAAGAAGCGAAGAGGATCAACCATAATCCACGAGGGCATTCCTTCCCTGGGTGCATTGTGGATTATATGAAGGATATTTGGGACACCAAAAAACAAACAAAAAACTGTGTCTCGGCAAATGCCCTCGGTAGGGTTCGAGCCTACAACACCTTCCGAGACTTTGAGGCCAACAAAGATGATCAATCCTGATCCACGAGGGCATTTCTTCCCTTGTTGCATCGTGGATTACATGGCCCCGCAATTGCAATTGGTACATTGGATGTCTGTGGCAAAATGAAAGACCCTCCAAAATAAAACAGAAACAGAAACAAAAAACAAGGGCGGGGGAAGAAGAAGAAAAAAGGCCACTTGGGAGAGATAATGCCCCCAGTAGGATTAGAACCTACGACGTCTTCATAACATCTCTGATCGCTACTATGAAATGAAGATGATCTACCGCTGATCTACGGGGGCGATGATCCTGTTGGTTTGATGTTGGGCTATGGTAAGCCATCATGGTGTAGAAGTTGAGGATGGAAAATACTTTTATAATTGGAGTGAACATCAATGAACCGTGCATGAGAGGAACTCAAGGTGGTCTACCATAATCCACGACGGGGATACTTCATCGTGAATTATACATATGCAGTGATGGAGGTTCGAGGGAAATGAAGACGCGCCAAAAACCAAAACCAAACCAAAACCTCAAAAAAACCATCCACATCATTCATGCATGCCCTCGGTAGGATTCGAACCTACGATGTCTTCATAAAGTCATATGCATATTGTCATTATTAGATGAAGATGATCAACCATGATCCACAAGGGCATTAATTCTGTGGGACCGCACCAGAATATACCTACCTACCTACCTGTGATGCATCGTGGATTACAGTGAGGTTTAAAGGAAATGAATCGGACGCGCCAAAAACAAAACAAAACCCCCCAAAAAAAACATCCATTTCATCCATGCAGATGCCCTCGGTAGGATTCGAACCTACGGTTTCTTCGGTGATTTCTATATTGTCAGATGGGACGAAGATGATCAACCACGATCCACGAGGGCATTAATTCTGTGAGTGCATCGTGGATTATATGTCAGTAAAGATCAATATTTGAAGTTGGGCTCCGCAATTGCAATTGGTACATACATGGGATGTCGATGTCTGTGGCAAAATGAAAGACCCTCTCCCCCCCCAAAAAAAAAGAAAGAAAGAAAAAACCAACTTGAAGAGATAATGCCCTCGGTAGGATTCGAACCTCCGACATCTTCCGAGTCTTTCAGGACTGATTATATATGGGATAAGTTATAAATCGTTCCATAACATCTTATAAGATGAAGACAATCAACCATGATCCACGAGGGCGTTATATCCCTTGTTGCATCGTGGATTATATAGATGCCAGTGATAGGTTTGAGGGAAATGCAGGCATGCCAAAAAAAACCAAAAAAAAACGAGTGCCACACTGTGAATACCCTCGGTAGGATTCGAACCTACAATGTCTTCATAATTGCTAAAGTTTTTATCAATTAGATGAAGGTGATCTACCATAATCCACGAGGGCATTCCTTCCATGGGTGCATCGTAGATTATATGCCAGTGACAGAGGTTTGAGGGAAGTGAAGACATACACGCCAAAAAAGAAAATTGCCTCTTGGAGCCAGTCCAATGCATTATGTGAATGTCAAGAGGTTTGAGGGAAAGAAGACTCGTCAACCAAAAAAAAAAAACTCATGCCTACAGTATGCCCTCGGTAGGAATCGAACCTACGCTGTCTTCAGAGATTTGTTTTGCAGCGTCATAGGATGAAGATGATCAACCACGATCCACGAGGGCGATACCGCATTGTGGATTATATATATGCAGTAACAGAGGTTTGAGGAAACGAAGACTGGCCAAAAAAAAAAAAAAAAAGCTGCAGATTCAGACGTGAATGCCCTTGGTAGGATTCGAACCTACAACATCTTCATAAGCATTATTCCCAAAATCTACAAGCACTATGAGATGAAGATAATCAACCATGATCCACGAGGGCGATACCTCCCTTGTTGCATTGTGGATTATATATATGCAGTAACAGAGGTTTGAGGGAAGTGAAAGACCCCAACGAAAAAAAAAAGAAACACTGGGAGAGAGGTAATGCCCTCGGTAGGATTCGAACCTACAGCATCTTTAAAGCTTTGGCGGAGTGGAACAGAGTGAAGATGATCTACCGCGATCCACGAGGGCATTAATTCTGTGGTGCATCGTGGATTACATATGTATATGCCAGCAACGGAGGTTTGAAGGGAAATGAGCATGCCATAAAAAAAAACCATTGCTTCTTGCGTCCAATGCATTATATGAGTGCCCTCTGTAAGATTCAAGGCAAAGGTATGCCAGTACAGTAACAGAGGTTTGAGGGGAATGAACAGACCAAAAAAAAAATCAGACTTACAGAACATGCCCTCGGTAGGATTCGAACCTACGATGTCTTCATAAAGTCATACGCATATTGTCATTATTAGATGAAGATGATCAACCATGATCCACGAGGAAGATTATATGCCGGAGATTTGAGGGTAGTGAAGACACACTTTAACAGGAAGAAAAAAACCGAAGTCAATGACGAATGCCCTCAGGTAGGAATCGAACCTACAACATCTTCATAAAGTCAGAAGATGCTATACTACTAGGTGAAGATGATCAACCATGATCCACGAGGGCAATACTTCCCTTGTTGCATTGCGGATTATATGTATGCAGTGAGGGAGGGTTGAGGGAAAGAAGACTAACCAAAAAAGAAGAAAAAAAGGGTACCAATGAGATGCAAATGCCCTCGGTAGGATTCGAACCTACGACATCTTCCGAGACTTTTATAACTGTGCATGAGACAAAGATGATCAACCATGATCCACGAGGGCGATATTCACCTAGGTACATCATGGAATATATACCAGTAGCAGAGGTTTGAGGGAAATGAACCAGCCAAAAAAAAGATCGTTGACAAGATATCGATGTTATGCCCTTGGTAGGAGTCGAACCTACAGCATCTTTAAAGCTTTGGCGGAGTGGAACAGAGTGAAGATGATCCACCACAATCCACAAGGGCATTTCTTCCCTTGTTCCATCGTGGATTATATATATGCCAGCAATGGAGATTTGAGGGAAATGAACATGCCAAAAAAAAACCATTGCTTCTTGCGTCCAATGCATTATTTGAACACCCACCGTAAGATTCAAGCCCAGAGTATGCCAGTGATGGGGGTTTGAACTTTGTGGCAATGAAGACTTGCCCAAAAAAAGAAGAGAAAAAAACCAACCATACCGTGAATGCCCTCGGTAGGATTCGAACCTACGATGTCTTCATAAACAATCCATAATAATTATAGGATGAAGATGATCAACCATGATCCACGAGGGCATTTCTTCCCTTGTTGCATCGTGGATTACATGTCAGTAAAGATCAATTTTAAAGTTGGGCCCCGCAATTGCAATTGGTACATTGGATGGATCTGTGGCAAAATCAAAGACCCTCCCCAAAACAAAACAAAACAAAACCAAAAAGCCCAGTTAAAGGAGAAGTGCCCTCGGTAGGAATCGAACCTACGACGTCTTCATAAACTGTGGCACTTGCCTACCACTAGATGAACATGATCTACCGCTGATCTACGGGGGCGATGATCTGCCTTGTTCGATCATGGTGTTGAGTTATGGTATGTATCATGGAGGAGTTGAGGAATTTTTATAATCGGAGTGGACATCAACGAACTGTGCATGAGACAAAGATGATCAACCGCGATCCACGAGGGCGATATTTCCTTTTGGGAATCGTGAATTATACATATGCAGTGATGGAGGTTTGAGGGAAGTGAAGATGCGCCAAAAACAAAAACAAAAACAAAAACAAAACCTCAAAAAAATCACCAACTTCATCCGTGGATGCCCTCGGTAGGATTCGAACCTACAACGTCTTCATAAAGAAGAGAAGTGTCTGCGACTAGATGAAGATGATCAACCATGATCCACGAGGGCGATACTTCCTTGGGTTCATCGTGGATTATATGAAGGATATTTGGGACACCAAAAAACAAACAAAAAACTGTGCCTCCGCAAATGCCCTCGGTAGGGTTCGAACCTACGACGTCCTCGAAATTTACAGACAGCTCTATAATTGAGCGAGGATGATCTACCGCTGATCAACGGGGGCGATGGCTGTTGTTGTTCGTTCAAGGCTGGGTCGTGGTGTGGGAGAAGTAGAGGAGAGTTGAATTCATCCGTTCAGCAGCAAGAGATGAAAGCATTATCCATAAGTTATTAAAGTAGCCTCCGACTCCGCAAGAACCCGACGGAGAGTTCCAGCCACGTCGACTCGCGGGATCTATATGACGGCCAGCCTGAGGGACGCGATAAGGCTCGGGGCCTGTAATACGCGCGTGGACCAACCTGACGCATACGTCTGTCGCGCCAATTTAAAGTTCAGGACAGTCACGCACAGGCAGAGTGATTGACAAGGCCAGGTACGGGATTGAGAGAATCTGAGAACCGCGATGAATACCCAGGCAAGTCCGTGTCTAGGCCGCGCTGGATTGAATGTTGCCCTGAGAGTGACGTCGTGGGCTACGCGTTATATAGATGCATGTCGTGCAGTCGATGATCTGTTCTTGTTCTTGTTCTGTTCGAGTCTGCGTTGAACGACCAATTCCAAATGAAAAAGCAAGTCAACAAATGCAACTCGGGTAGTTGGCGCAGATTAGCTTTTTGAAGAAAGCGGCGTGCGATAACTTGTCTTTGATCGATGACGTTTGGAGTGGAGCAGGGCTCCTTACTCGATGCAAGAGACCACAACGACGCCGCTCCCAAGCACGGCGCCAACGACGACCCCTTCCAACGATGACATCGAAGCCGTCATCCAAATGGCCACCGCCGCCGCACAGAACGACCCCCGCACCCTCCCCTCCGCGACACCCGCACCCAGCTCTTCGTCGCAAACCTCCCCTACCGCGTCCGCTGGCAGGACCTCAAGGACCTCTTCCGCCGCGCAGGCACCGTCCTCCGCGCAGACGTCTCCCTCGGTCCCGATAATCGCTCCGGGGTATGGAACAGTCCTGCTGGCCACCGCGGAGGACGCAGGCCGCGCGGTGGATATGTTCAGCGGATACTCCTGGCAGGGGCGCATCCTCGAGGTCCGCGCGACCGCGTGCGCGATTTGACCAGCCGTTTCCCGAGGTGGAGGACGACTTTGCTCAGGCGACCCAGGCGGGCCGTAATTTGTTTGTAGGCAATGTGCGTCTCAATTTATTGCATTCTCTGGCTAGTCCTAATTAATGTGCAGCTGCCGTTCCACGTCCAGTGGCAAGACCTCAAGGACCTCTTCCGGCAGGCGGGCACGATTGTCCGCGCCGACGTCGCGCTCGGGCCCGACGGCCGCTCGCGCGGCTTCGGCACCGTCGTCTTCGCACCGAAAAGGACGCCCGGAGGGCCGTTGGCATGTTTTCGGGGTACGTCCGTTTTTTCTGTTCTCCGACGTCCTTTTCGCCGTCCCTCTTCTGTTCTCTTCCGTTCTTTTTTTTCATACTGCTTCCAATTGTGGGGATAAACTACACTCCCCCTCCTCCTGTTTCTTTGTCACCCACCTCGTCACCCAACTCTGGTTCCGTTCCGCGATGGCGCCGAACTCCGAACTTCGAACTCGCGGGTGTCAGAAAATCGCGGCAGTTTGGTCCGGTGACGCGATTTTGATTTACACGCGATTACACCACCCGGTGGAGTGCCGTCGCGCGTAATTGGCGCGTGGCTCGGATTGGGCGCACTGGCGCGGTGGTTGTGCCAGCGCGCATTTGACACCCCACTGGTGGAGTTTGCGAATAGCGGATAGGGTGTATGGGTGATACGTGCGCTGCGCCGCGATATGCTCCGCACCGACTTGTTCCTGTCGGGCCGGCGGCTCACACCTCTGTCTCTGTTCTTTCTTCCAAAGAGTGCACGAATCGCACGCATGTTGTGTTGGGGGGCGCGGCTTGCGCCCGATATGCGCACACTTGATTCCTGCCTGTCGAGATCGGGATCAGGCTCGTCTTTCTTTTTTTCTTTTCTTCCAAACACCCCGAGGGTGGAGTGCACGCATCGCACGTAGCATTTACGCGCGCGCGGAGCGCACCGCCCCATGCGCCCGGATGTCCCAACCTGATATGCCCCGACCAACTTCAGGTCTGGGGCGGGGCTGGGCGCGCGTATAATTGATACGTGTGTGCGTGTACATGTCGGGCGCGGGCGCGGGCGTGGTCGGCGCAGGCGTCTTTCTTCTTTCTTCTTTCTTCCAAACACCCCGAGGATAGAGTCCACGGATAGTACGCGTGAGACGGGTCGGCGCCATGCATGCTATATTCCGACTTGATTCCTCCCATCTCCTTGTTTCTTTCAAACACCCGAGGGGAGTTGGTGGATCGCACGGTTTGGTTTGCGCGCTGCGACATGGTCCGTCCCGAGCCGATTCCTGCCCCATTTCTGTTTCTTCCAAACACCCCGAGGATGGAGTTGACGAATCGTGCGTATAATTGATACGTGCGTGCGCGTGGTGGGCTGTGTTCGGCGCAGGCGTAGGCGGGTTTGCGCGCCGCGATGTACGGCGATCTGATTCCTGCCCCGGGGCCGGGGCTCGTCTTTCTTCTTCCAAAGACCCCGAGGGTGGAGTTCACGAACACGAATAGCACGCGTGTTGGGCGCGTGTCGGGCGCAGGCGGGTGTGCGCGCCACGGCGATTTGATTCCTGGCGGCCTCGGGGCTCGTCTGTCTCTGTTCCTTTCTTCCAAAACCCGAGGATGGAGTGCACGAATTGCGTGCGCCCTGATTGCTCCGACCAACTTCAGGTTGGGTCGGGCTCACGGTTGGGCTGGTCGCACGTATAATCGATAGTTGGTGGGCTCGTGTTGGGCGGGGCGGCCTTGGTGGGCCGGCCGGGCGGTTGCGAGGTGATATACCCGACCCCATTCTGCCCCAGACCCGGGGTCAGGGCTCACCTCTCTCTGCTTCTTCAAAACCTTCCTCTCTTTCTCTTTCTCTTCTCTTTCTCTTTCTCTTTCTCCCCCCCTCCCCATCCGCGTTGTACATCTCATTACTCACATCTTCTTCCTTTCTTCTACCAGATACGAATACAACGGCCGCACCCTCAAAGTGCACTACGACAAGTTCTCCCAGGCCGCCGCCGCCGTTGGTGCGCAAGGCGTTGGCGGGTTCGACCTCAACAGCCTGCTCTCACTCTCCGCGCTCTCGCTCGGGCACTCGCACTCGCCCGCGCCGGGGCAGTCTGTGTTCGATTTAACAGGGGTGGGCCAGAATGCGTTCGATTTAACGGGGCAGCAGAATGCATTCGATTTAACTTCGCAGGGGAATGCGACTGGGTTCGACCTGACGAGCTCCCAGGCGTTCGACCTGACGGGGGCGCAGGCTGCGTTTGATTTGCCCTCTTTGTCTTTGGGGGGTGGGGGTGGGGGTGGAGATAACCCGTTTGCGGTCCATCATGGGCACCTCCAGCAGCAGGCGTTGCAGATACAGCAACAGCAGCAGCAACAACATCTGCAAAATCTCCAACAGCAACAGCAGCAGCAACAACAACAACAACAATCCCAGGTACAATCCCAGCTGCAGCAGCAGCAATCGCAATCGCAATCGCAGCCCGGTTCGGCCTCGGCCTCGGGCTCATCGCGTTTTGGGTTCGAGTTACCGCCGATACAGAGCCAGAGCCGGGCACAGCAGTTGCAGGCCCAGGCCCAGGCGCAGTTGGGGTCGTTGTCGCATTCGCATTCGTCTGTATCCCCGCCCCAACACTCGCAGTCGCGGTCGCCGCCTTCCACGTCCGTGGCTGTAGCTCCGGCACATGGGCAGGGACAGGGACAAGGGCAGGGTCAGCAAGGAGCGCAGGGACAAGGAGCGCAAGGAGGACAAGCACAAGCACAACACCTCGAGCCCCGCCCGCCGGAGCCGACGAGCCCGCCCCCGCCCCCGAGTGCGAGTGCGAGCTACGCCAGCGCCGCGTCCGGTTCTAGTGGGAGTGGGAGTGGGAGGAGCGCGAGCTCGGGTAGTGTTAACACCAACGCGAGTGGGAGTGCGGGGACGAGCGCGACGAGCGTCGGGAGTACGAGTCGACCCAGCACGGGGATGGGTATGGCGGCGAAGCGATCGCCGACGTCTCCCCATGGGCATGCGCACCCGCACCCGCACCACCCGGGCCCGATCGCGCTGCCGCCGCCGCCGTTGAGTGCTCTGCCGCTGCCTCTGCCTCACCCTCCCCGCCTCCGCCTCCTTCGTCGGCGAACAACAACGCGAACGCGAACAACGGAGCGAACAGCGGGTACGCAAACGCGCACGCCGGTCCGGGTGGGGGTGGCGGAGCAGGAGGAGGAGGAGGCAAGGGCAAGGCAAGGGCAAGGGCAAGGAGGACAAATCCACCCCTCCTTCGCGCCCCCGCATACGCGCTCACGCCCATGGGCCTGCCGCCCATCACGCCTAGCATGCCGCCGTTTTCGTTCTTGCCGATGCCGTCGCCGGGGATTGCGGGGGTGGGGATGCAGCAGCCGGGGTATTTTGGGATGACGGGGATGGGGATGGGTGGGATGGGGGGTGGGGGGATGAGCGGGATGGGTGGAGGGATGGGGGGAGGGATGGCGGGTGGGATGGGTGGGATGATGGGCATGGGAGGGGGGCCGATGACGCCGACGGGGGGTGAGTGTTTTTTTTCGATACGCGGGCTCGGGGAACGGAAACGGGTCTTTTTTTTCCCGTTTGGCTTTGGCTTTTCGAGAAAGTCTTTGACTCGCGTTTACCCTTTTGCCTTCTTCCTTTTCATTCTACTTGGCGTTTTCCATCACCTCTCGTTGCTGTCATTCTCAGCGTTAATTTTTCTCACTCTTACTTCTCAACACTCACACTGACCCTAATCCCCGCACACAGCGCACTTCCTCAACATGACCCCCCTTGCGACGCCCACCTCCCCACACTTCCCCGCCTACGTCCTCGCCGCGCCCCCGTCCAACGTCAACGGCATGCCCAACGGGCTGGGCGGCGGCGCGATGAACGGCATGGGCATGGCGCAGGTGCTCGGCCTCGGCCTCGGGCCCCCCAGCGCGCTGTCGCCCGGCGCCTTCTGGGGGCGCGCGGGCGAGGGGAACGTGTATGGCGCGCCTGTCGGGCAGCCGCCTCATGCGCATCCGGGACACCAACAGCAACAGCACCAACAACAACAACAGCAGCAGCAGCAACACATGCAGAATTCGTCGCCGCTTCCGCCGTCGCAGCAGTTGCAGCAGCATTCGCCGTATTTGGGCGGGCCGTACGCGAGCGGAGGGAGCCCGGGGTTGTTTGGGATGCATGCGCTGCATAGTGGAGGTGGAGCCGGGATGGGGATGGAGGAGCCGAAGGGGTACTTCGATATCCCACCGGCGTCTGGGGCGGGGTTTGGGGTGGAGAAGGAGATTATGCGTGATGAGAAGGCGTCGTCGCCGAGGGAGAAGGAGAAGGAGAAGAGCGCTGTGCGGGAGGAGAAGGAGGTGGTGGAGAAGGAGGTGGTGGAGAAGGCGGAGACGGACGCGGGGGATGGGGAGAGTGAGGATCAGGAGGGGGACGGTGGGCAGAAGGAGAGGCCGCGGCGGCATTCGTCGGACCCGCCGCCTGCGCCGACGACGCCCCTGCGCGAGGGGAGGCGCGGGCCGCCGCCGCCGTTGAGGCTGCCGTCGACTACGAGCACTGGGTCGGGCTAGGCGGGTCCCCGCTCGGTCCTGTGTCGTGTGTCGCGTTTCGGGTCGCGTATTACTGCGCGGACTGCTTATTGTGCAGGGCCCGGTTGCGGATGACCTTGATGATTCAAGGTCAACGTCAAGGAAAAGATGGGGGGACAAAAGAAGAGAAGAAGTTGAATTAAATTAATGGTTGTGTTGGTTTTGGATTCGGTTTTTTGTCTAATCGTGCTTTGCTTTTTTATTCCTTCTCCCTCGCAAGATCGTACTGTTACCTACATACAGCAATGTTGAATTAATTTATGTGGTAAAAGTAAAGGCATCGTGATTGTTATGCATCAGTACAACAACGACTGCATAACTTGCTTACGACCACAATGGCCATAACGTGAATATTCGAGCGCGCACTCCAACCAACTTAACGATCCGCTTCTATTGCGACTTGAGCCACCCGTTCCAACTCACTCTCACTGACTCTATTCCTCATTCGAATCCTTGTCGATCATGCCTCTCCTTTCAAGTTTCGGATCGTTATGGAGCATGAGCCACCCATTCCGACTCACTCAGCTACTTTCTGCTGCTACTGGATCCCTTGATCGAATCTTAGTCTCAATCGTGCCTCTCCTTTCGGATCGTTATGGAGCCTCCTTTCCTCTGTGCAATGAAGATCGTCGATTGATTGTCCAGGTACATAAGAAACCAACAGATGATTCCATGCGCGCTATATGCGAGAATTCCCCCAAGAGCTGGTCGAGCTAGTCATCGACAACGTCGCTTCCACCAAAGATGTTAGCGCATGTAGTGCTGTCTGCCAGCGATGGCTGCCCCGCAGCCGGATGCACCTCTTTTGCTGTATCACACTTCGTCATCGGCGGACTATTCAGTCATTCCTCGCCCTCGTCGACTCCGCATCCGTGCCCGTATCCGCCTTCGTGCAGACTCTTCATCTGGGACTCGCGGACGCGCGCGTCTCCGAAGAGCATCTCACTCGACTGCAGAGTTTCCCCGCCCTCAGAGAACTCTGCATACGCGATCGGGAATTCTTTTGGCGGGGGCTCAATGACGAGCTCCGCCTCGAAGCCCTCCTGCATATCCATGTCCCGCGCTTCCGCTCTCTCACCCGGTTCGAATTCGCTCTTCCAAATGACATCCTGCTCAATGTGATAACCCATATCATATCGAGCCTGCCGTTCCTCACGCATCTGCGCCTGGTCTGCGATCGGGCATACACTGGAATTGTAACCCCCGCAATGCGTCCGCCGGACGGTGCTGTGTATCCCGCAATCGCTCCGCCCGCGGACGCACTCCCCCGAGACCTGCACACACTAGACATCGAGCTGTATCGCGGAACCAGCGCACTGTTTCGGTGGCTGCTCTCCCACCGCGAACCCCCCATCTTCACGTCGCTGACGCTCGGAGGGGACGCCAATGGCGAACCCATAGAACCAATCGAAACATATTTCGCTCGCTTCGGCCCCCATATCGAGTCCCTGGAGCTCGCCTTTTGGGTAGACGGGGTGGAAGGTTTGTCTCTTCCTTGCGCTGGGCGCTCCCGCTGAGTGATTCCACAGGGCATATCAGCGGCCCCACAAAGACCAGGGCCTTCGAAGCGCGCGCCATCGCACTCACGCCTCGACTTCTGCATTTAACGCTCATCGGGCAGTACCCGGACGCCCTACCGACCACACTCGCGTTTCCATCCGGATCCTCGCCCCGCCTCGCCGCGCTCACTGTTGGGGTGCAGAGCCCCTCCGTAGGCATGCCCACGCTAGATTGGCGCGTACTGGACACGCTCTTGGGGACACCGCGCTTTGGCGCGTTGAAGCGCCTTTCGTTCACGTACTATGCACGAAGAACTTCCTTGATCACCGCAGCAGTGAAGGCGTTGATGCCACAAACCACTGCACGGAATATTCTCATGTGATGCATCTTACACTCAAACAGAAGTTCGAGACAACCGTTTCGTTATTACAGACCTTAGCGTGGTGGATCGATGCTTCACACACCGCTGAACTCCATGTACACACTAGTAAATGCATCGAATGCTTCTCCTTAGACTAATTGACCGTTCGTTAGGCAAATGCCTCGTCGGTGGCCGCACATTTGAGACGTAGAGCATACCCGAAGATCGTACTGCTATCTAATTAACGGTTCTGTTGGTTTTGGATTCGGTTTTGTCTACTAATCGTGCGTTGGCTTTGTAAATGCAGAGAAAGGACAAGCAAGATTCACAACAATGCGTATCCTTGCTTCAGGGTCTCGTAAACGTGGCGCGTTGAGGGACGACGACCTGGCTCGTGCTGAGTGCTCGACGTAGGAGGACACGAGATTTGAAACCAGTTTGGTATCCCCTCAGTTCACGTCAACCGGGCTCACATACTCCGGGACATTTTCTTTTGGGTCATTCACTTGCCCGCAATGCAGAGTACACCAGTACTGTGATTTCAAGGCCGAAATTGAGTTCTACGGTCTTGTCGGAGTACGGACATTGAACACTTGTATAAAGAGTGCGATGCAAAAAAATTGAAAGCGGCGCTAATTTCATTTACCATACTGTATTGTACCATGATGCACCCAGGGAAGTGTCGCCCTCGTAGATCGGGGTAGATCATCTCCATTTCTTTAGATAAGTTAACTGGGATCTTCTGAAGATGTTGTAGGTTCGAATCCTACCGAGGGCATGCATGGTGCAGTTCTGATTTTTTCCCCCTCCAATTTTTTTTTTACGATACATTTCTAGAGGTCAGATAATACTACTTGAGATAGCATTGGTTCTGGCGCCAGTTTTTGCAACACTGACGGTTTGGAAAACACAACCGTGGGAAGATTGCTGTAAATCGAGTTCAATTTTAAGTTACCTGAAAGCGATTTTGACCAAAACAGCACAACTGTGGAGGTTCTGAGAATTTCTTGGGTCTCTATTTTCACTACTTATTTGAATTACAATTACTTAGATGCAAACAAATTGCGGCCCGCCTGCTGTGCCTGAGCAAAGTCGTCCTCCACCTCGGGAAACGGCTGGTCAAAGTCGCGCACGCGGTCCGCGCGGACCTCGAGGATGCGCCCCTGCCACGAGTAGCCGCTGAACATGTCCACGGCGCGGCCTGCGTCCTCCGCGGTGGCCAGCAAGACTGTTCCATAGCCCCGGGAGCGATTATCGGGACCGAGGGAGACGTCTGCGCGCAGGACGGTGCCTGCGCGGCGGAAGAGGTCCTTGAGGTCCTGCCAGCGGACGCGGTAGGGGAGGTTTGCGACGAAGAGCTGGGTACGGGTGTCGCGGAGGGGGAGGGTGCGGGGGTCGTTCTGTGCGGCGGCGGTGGCCATTTGGATGACGGCTTCGATGTCATCGTTGGAAGGGGTCGTCGTTGGCGCCGTGCTTGTGAGCGGCGTCGTTGTGGTCTCCTGCATCGAGTAAGGAGCCCTGCTCCACTCCAAACGTCATCGATCAAAGACAAGTTATCGCACGCCGCTTTCTTCAAAAAGCTAATCTGCGCCAACCACCCGAGTTGCATTTCTTGACTTGCTTTTTCATGTGGAATTCGTCGTTCAACGCAGACTCGAACAGAACAACAAGAACAAGAACACGATCATCCTGCACGACATCCATCCTATATAACGCGTAGCCCACGACGTCACTCTCAGGGCAACATTCAATCCAGCGCGGCCTAGACGCGGACTTTGCCACTGGGTATTCATCGCGGTTCTCAGATTCTCAATCCCGTACCTGGCCTTGTCAATCACTCTGCCTGTGCGTGACTGTCCTGAACTTTGGCGCGACAGACCGTGCGTCAGGTTGGTCCATGCGCGTGTTACACCTTATCGCGTCCCTCAGGCTGGCCGCCATATAGTCTTTGTATTGATCCCGCGAGTCGACGTGGCTGGAACTCTCCGTTGGGTTCTTGCGGAGTCGGAGGCTACTTGAAGAACTCATGAATAGTGCTCAACGTCTCACAAATCCAAAAATATATCCAACTTTCCCCTATACTTTGCCCCACACCACTACCTAGCCTTGAATGAACAACAACGCCCGTCGCCCCCGTAGATTAGCGGTAGATCATCTTCATCTTATAATCCATAAATATGTTTTCTGAAGATGTCGTAGGTTCAACTCCTACCGAGGGCATTCGTCATTGACTTCATTTTTTTCTTCCTGTCTTCACTACCCTCGAATATCCGGCATATAATCCAGGATGCAGCAAGGGAAGTATCGCCCTCGTGGATCGTGGTCGATCATCTTGGCCTCATAATAGTTTGGATGGCTGTCTCCATGAAGATGTCGTAGGTTCGACTCCTACCGAGGGCATTCATCATTGATTTCTTCTTTTTAACTTCCTGTTAAAGTGTGTCTTCGTTTCCCTCAACCTGTCGCCGGCATATGATCTACGATGCACCCAGGGGAATATCGCCCTCGTGGATCGTGGTTGATCATCTTCATCCAATCACAAAGAATAGACTCTGTTTATGCAGATGTCGTAGGTTCAACTCCTACCGAGGGCATTCGTCACTGGCTTTGCTTTTTTAACTTCCTGTTAAAGTGTGTCTTCGTTTCCCTCAAACTCGTCACTGGCATATAATCTACGATGCACCCAGAGAATGCATCAGCAAGATAGCAAAAACTTTTGGACTTTCGAACTTTTGTCTCGTTTGTCTCCTGGGCGAAAAAAAAAGGTCGCAGAAATCATGCCTAGATGCCGATGGAATGGATCAAAATATTATTATTTTTGGTCTTGTGGGATTTTAGACATGTCTTGTGGTCTTGCGAACTTTCGGTCTTTTTTGCCTTGTACGATAACGTACAAGACCAGACAAGACCAAAAAAGTAAACTGTCAAAAACGCGATGTGAATGCCCTCGTGGATCATGGTAGATCATCTTCATCTACTTAATAGTGATAATATCACTTATGAAGACATCGTAGGTTCGACTCCTACCGAGGGCATCCATAGATGATATTGGTGGTTTTTTTGGGGGTTTTTGTTTTTTTTTTGTTTTTGGCGCACCTTCAGTTCCCTCAAACCTCCGTTACTGCATATGTATAATTCACGATGCACACAGGGAAGAAATGCCCTCGTGGATCGCGGTTGAGCATCTTTGTCTCAGTTGATGTTCACTCCGATTATAAAAAGTCAACCTCTGCACCATGAGACTACCATAACATAGCATCCTGATCGACTCAGTAGGATCATGGCCCCCGTAGATCAGTGGTAGATCATCTTCATCCTGTGGAGCTATGTCCAGAGGAATTTGAAGACGTCGTAGGTTCGAACCCTACTGAGGGCACTATATCCTTTAACTGGTCATTTTTCTTTTTCCTTCTTTTCTTTTCTTTTTTTTGCTTGGGAGAGGGTCTTTCATTTTGCCACAGACATCGACATACAATGTACCAATTGCACTGTGCGGGACCCAAATTCAAATATTGATCTTTACTGACATGCATATGTAATCCACGATGCACCCGGAAGAATATCGCCCTCGTGGATCGCGGTTGATCATCTTTGTCTTATAATTGGTCTCAAAGTCGAGGAAGGTGTTGTAGGTTTGAATCCTACCGAGGGCATTCGTCATTGGCTTTGCTTTTTTAAGTGTGTCTTCACTACCCTCAAATCCCCTTCATATAATCCACGATGCACCCAGGAGAATATCGCCCTCGTGGATCATGGTTGATCATCTTCCTTCAATTAAAGAACTTGAAAGGGGTCTGGAGTTCCAAAGACAGCGTAGGTTCGAATCCTACCGAGGGCATCCACAGATGAAATGGATGGTTTTTTTGAGGTTTTGGTTTTGGTTTGGGTTTGGGTTTTTTGTTTTGGGCGCGTCTTCGTTTCCTCAAACCTCCGTTACTGCATATGTATAATTCACGATGCAACGAGGGAAACATAGCCTTCGTGGGTCATGGTAGGTCAGCTTCCTCTCATGCACAGTTCATTGATGTTCACTCCGATTATAAAAATTCTTCAAGTTCTACACCATGATATTACATACCATACCACAATAAAATTCTTCAAAATTGCAAGAACCATCAGGATTATCGCCCCCGTAGATCAGCGGTAGATCATCTTCTCACTCTGTTGAATCTATACTTCGAATTATGAAGATGTCGTAGATTCGAATCCTACCGAGGGCACTAGTTCTTCCAACTGTTTTTTTTTCCTTTCTTTTCTTTTGCTTGGGGGAGGGTCCGATTAATTTCATTTTGCCACAGACATCGACATCCAATGTACCAATTGCACCGTGCGGGGCCCAACTTCAAAATTGATCTTTACTGACATGTAATCCACGATGCAACCAGGGAAGAAATGCCCTCGTGGATCACAGTTGATCGTCTTCATCCTATAACGTGTTAGGGTTGGTTTATGAAGATGTTGTAGGTTCGAATCCTACCGAGGGCATTCTGTTGTCGATTTGTGATTTTTCTTCCTGTTAAAGTGTGTCTTCGTTCCCCTCAAACCTCCCTCATATAATCCATGAAGCAACAAGAAAAGCATCGCCCTCATGGATCATTTGATCATCTTCACTCCGTACGAATTCTGGTGTCAATTTTGAAGACAGTGTAGGTTCAACTCTTACCGAGGGCATGCTTCCTGGGTCTATACTTTTTTTTTGGTGTCTTCATTCCCTCAAACCTCAGGGAAGAAATGCCCTTGTGGATCATGGTTGATCATCTTTGTCTCATAGTTTGGTGAGGCTCTCTTCATGAAGATGTTGTAGGTTCGAATCCTACCGAGGGCATACGCGCTTGATGCGGTTTTTTTTTGCACGTCTTCAGTGTTGCCTTAAACCTCTGTTACTGGTATATAATCCACGATGTACCCATGGAAGTAGCCCTCGTGGATCGTGGTTGATCATCTTTGTCTCATGTGTCTATTCACAACTTCGAGGTATGGAGATGTTGTAGGTTCGAATCCTCCGAGGGCATAGGATAGGGCTTTGTCATTCGTCTTTTTATTTATTTTTTGGCCTTCCTCAAACCTCCGTCATATAATCTAGGATGTAACAAGGGAAATAATGCCCTCGTGGATCATGGTAGATCACCTTCATCTAGTCGTAAGTACCGTAGATCTTTAAGAAGACATCGTAGGTTCGAATCCTACCGAGGGCATAATAGGGTGGTGGAGTGATTTTTTTTCTTCCTGTATCTGCTTTCCCTCAAATTGTAACCCTCTGTTACTGGCATACCTTTAGTTTGAATCCTATCGAGGGCATGGGCATTACCGGTGGTTTTTTTTTGGTATGTCTTCACAATCCTCAAACCTCTGTTACTGGCATACATATTCTGTGCACCATGCAAAGGAAGTATCGCTCTCGTGGATCATGGTTGATTGTCTTCACTTCTTGTAGTGTTGGGATAGAGTTCTGTAGTATAAAAGACGCCGTATCAACTCCTACCGAGGGCAAACCTCCGTTGCTGGCATATAATCCACGATGCACGCAGGGAAAAAATGCCCTCGTGGATCATGGTTGATCATCTTTATTTCATAACGCTAAGAGATTCTGGAATAATGTTTATGAAGACACTCTAGGTTCGATTCCTACCGAGGGCATGCATGGTGCAGTTCTGATTTTTTTTCCCCTGCGTTTTTTTCTCAATGTATTTCTAAAAGTCGGATACTCGAGTCCACAGTATTGATAATATGGTTCTGAGCCCGGTTTTGCAACACTGACGGTTTGGAAAACACAACCGTGGGAAGTTTGCTGTAAACCCAATTGGGTTTTACCTGAAAGCGATTCTGCGGACCAAAACTCTGGAGGTTTTGAAGACGGTTTTTTGAATCTCTATTATTTGAAGGTTTACAACTACTTACGATGCAGAACGGAGGGTTTCAGAATTGTAACCGTTGTCCAAATTCCACTCCTTCTGCCCAAAATAATACATCCGGACCTCGCTTGGCTCCTCCCGGGTTGTCCGTGCGTTTATTCCCTCTTTCTCGATGTACTGCATCGCTCTAAATTTCAAAATACAACTTCCCGCGCGGCGCATAGTCGTGAATCAGCGCTGTCCAAATGGCGCGCGCGACCTATTTTTCCTGAGTGACCTATCCCAAAGAAGAACATTGAGACAACTGAACCAAAGAAGAATCCGTGCAGACGCACGAGATGGCCTGCGCCGTGGATCTTCGAAACCGAGGCCATGCGCCGTCCCCTCGCTACATCGCAAATGTCGCGCTGTATTTCAACCGGGTTAGCTCATATCAGCAGATATCAACTCATCAGCCTTTCCACTACACGCAGATAGAAACTCGCGCACACCAAATCGTTTTCCGCGCGAATTGCAGCCTCAAATGTGAGAGTGAACAAATAGATCCAGCGCCTTGGAACCGCCGGAAAGCCATGGATAGAAGTGCGTCTTTGTCGTCCGTCCATTCCGTAACTTGGGTAACAATGCCACGATGTTGGGCAACAAAAATTGTTTTGGAACCATGTTGAACTTGAAGCTTGATGCCTTGAGGAAAGGTTGCTGGCGGGCGTTGGGGGGGCGCGCATCAAATGACAATCCAGCAATGCAATCAAGGATGCAATGATCATGAAGATTCATTTGGATTGATTAGCTTGCGCGTTGGGCTAGCCTACTTAACCAAGGCTTGCCGAAAGGTCCAGTCTCATGGAGAATAGGGCGGTGAAAAAGTGAGAAACAAATCGTCAAGCGGAGTTCAAATTCCGGATCAAATCGGCACATGCCTTCCATCTCTTCCCTCAACTTCCCCTCATTCTGTCTTGATCCTGATTTCGTCTATGAATGCGGACAGCCCGCGATTCGACAAGATCCAGGCACGCCTCACCATAAAAAACTTTCCCAGTGGACGCTGGTAGTTGAACGATGTCCAGATGCTCAGCTTTCGAAACCACTGCAAGTCGGTCATCCTCAGGCTCAGGCTCTGTACTACTCCAGGTCCGCGTGAATCATAGGGTCCAAAATCTAATGGAAAAGAAGTCTGCCTAAAAAAACTCCGCTTCTCAGCTCATGGCTCCCACATTCATATTCTCAAAAGAACTTCCTGTTCTCGCAGACCTGCGATCATGCCTTACAAGCTCTAGCAGAGTCCGTCCGATAGCATTCTTGTATCCTTTCTAATGGATACCAATCTGTTCTTAATATCTCAGGGTGCGTCATTCCAGAAAGAAACATCGACAGTCATATGCCCTGAACGCGTTCTGGAACCTATTAGGTGGCTAAGCCTTGCTGCAATTCGCTCTCACGAATTCTCTTAGTTTACACGCTGACTCCACCTCGTGTGAATATCCCATTGTTCTAGGCTATGGCCGTCCCAATCCCCGACGATATATACCTGCCCTTCCTATCTAACTTTGTCTCGGACTTTCCGACTTGGAACGTCGACTAGGAGCGCCTCTGCTTGCCTCCGCGAGACGAAATTTGTGGCGGAATCCACTGCTTTCGAGCTGTAGAGCACGTTGAGTGACTAGATATCCTTTAACTTAATTTAACATCAAGACGTGGCTTTGAAAATCAATAAAATAGCGGTCGGGAAGTTCCTACTCTTGTCTTCGTACAATGTAGACTTGCCAAACTACTCAATCGCTCCCTGATCAGTATATCCACTCGGACGGAGGCCAACAGATCCATGGCCTGCCAAATTCCCCCGTAGTATACAATTTGACAATTTCCGAAACCTTAACACCGCGCATTGGGTAAAACTATCTTAGATTATGGAGTGATGCCGTAGACGAGTACAACTGGTGCGTATGACTATCCCGGCACGCTACGTCGCAGCCAATCTACATGACATGTTTCACAGGTATGCAAAATCAATGGGAAAGAAAGTGTGTGCTGATGTATTCCGTTCCTCTGCTCATGACACCACATTTGCTGGATGCCGCGGACATTTTTTGAAATACCAGGGCCGACGCCACTGTGTTGAACCTATTTACATAGGGACACGACGTAGCATTCTTGATACTTCGCACTGTTCTCGTCTAGGCCGCGTCATTTCCGGAAGGAAACATCGACGGTCATATGCACTGAACCCGTTTTGGAACCTATTAGGTGGCTGAGCCTCGCTGTAATTCGCACTCGTGAACCTCCGCGAGTTCTCTTGCTTTCTAGGACCGCACCTCCACATCGTGTGCATGTCCCATTGTTCTGGGCTACGACCGTCCCGATCCCCGGCGATATATACCTGCCCTTTCTATCTAACTTTGTCGCAGACTTTCAGACTCGGAATGCCTCCGCGAAACAAAATTTCTAGCGGAATCCGCTGGTTTCGAGTTGTAATTTTTGAGAACGTTGAGTGACTAGATCTATCCTTTAACCTAATTCAACATCAAGACGTGGCTTTGAAAATTAATAAAATAGCAGTCGGGAAGTTACCCTTGTCTTTGTACCAAATGTTGTGAACTTGCCAAACTACCTAATCACTCCCTGATTAGTATATCCGCTTGGACGGGTTCCAACAGATCCATGGCCCGCCAAATTTCCACCGTGGTAGACACTTTGAAGTTCACTTTCCGACCGGAGTTTCCGGACGCTATGGTCGACCGTTACCCGAGCTTAACACGCGCATTGGGCAACAATTATCCTGGATTGCAGAGTCATACCATAAACGATGCGGACAACAGGTGCGTCTGACTATCTCGGATCATGCTGTGTCGCGGCCAATTTACCTTCAATGGTATGGCTTTCTCTAGGACTGGACCTAACCAGCGGTCCGACTCGGAGCCCTTGCCGATCGCCCGCCCCACCACAACAAATTTCCAGATTCCAATACCCGCCGATGGAATTTCCGAGCTCGAGATTTCCTCCGATAATTCCTTTTGGGGTATCAATTCTTTTCCCAGGTAAGTAAGTTGTTAGATAAACTACTTGCTCACTCCGTTATTCCAGATGGCAAGATTTGGACATGCCAACTCACGCGCCATCGACACCGGAGCTCGCTTCAGGAAACAATTTCTTTGACTCGAATTCCATTCCCATGTTAGCGTCTCTCACTTTGTGAATTCTGTTGTGTTGATCTTGCGTTCAGATGTAACGGTCGAATGATGGGCTTACTCGACGCCACGAGCGATGCCCAAAATCTGCGACTTCCTTCAGTGCGATCTTCGTACACCCCGCCATGCGCGCCTTCATCCGACGAACAGGCAGAGCATAGGAAGGACACTGTACACCCTTCGCGCACACACCAAAAATCCTACGAGTGCGTCGTATGTCACGAATCCTTCACTCGGTGAGCACAATTCAGTCTGTCGGACTGGACTAAATCGCACCCAGACTCTGTGATCGTCGGACACACGAAAAAATGCACGCCAGCAAGCAGGGTGCGTGTCGACTAGTTTCGAGCTCGTAGCATCTAAGATTCACTCCCACAGCCTTCGCCTGTGACTTCCCCGGCTGTCTGAAGAAATTTGGTGTGAACACCGACTAAGATTATGATAGTTGCTGAATCGTGTCTGTATTTTCTTTCCTTAGGGGTACAGTCGAACCTGCAGCGCCATCAAGTCTCGCATGGTATCCGGAGGACAGGTCGGAGCCGGCCAATTGCACCGTACGAGATTAAATTCGAACCCCACCTTCCCGGTCCACCGCTACTCTCTGATACCACATCGATGCCCACTGCAATCCTATGGGACCGCGAAGGTCCATTTACTCGGCGACCCATCGACTGACCTCAGTTGCGGTCGGTATGAGACACGCTGGCACTGCAGACCATTTTTTCACATTTTGCAGGTCGCACTGCATCAGCCTGCAGATGGGAAAAAGTCTCCGGTCAAATGAGTTT